ATATATATATATGAAATGACTCGGGAAGACATCCCCAACAACATATTTAAAAATAAAACAAATCGGAGAGGAAGTCGCTTTTATGCATAATTACCTGAATTTTTCTTAAGTTTATTAAACCCGACAAAGCTCGAGGTTGAAAAAGATATGCCGACGCTACAAGATACTAAACTTGGTTGGGTTGTGTCCGGTCCAATTCCACCGCGATATATTCTTACTGAACGCGCTAGCTATTCACTTTGTTTAACGACACGAGACTCTTTGGAACGTTCAATAACAAAATTTTGGGAGATCGAAGAAGGCGCTAGTCATAATTCCGTAGAATTAACAAAGGAAGAACAGGCATGTGAACAAATATTTAAAGAAACGCATACACGAAATCGGGAAGGTAGATTCGTAGTTCGATTACCGTTTCGCGACAATAAAACGCAGCTGAGCAAATCGCGAGCAATCGCCGAAAGCCGATTGATGTATTTAGAGCGAAAATTCAAGGGCAATATTCATTTCCAACATTTATATAAGGGTTTCATAAAAGAATATATAGATTTGAAGCACATGACTTTTCTTCCAATCACTTCGAGCGAAGATGAGAACGCCGTTTATTTACCGCATCACGGAATATTGCGAAAGTCGGTCGCCGGTGCGAAGCTTCGTGTTGTTTTCGATGCGTCAGCCAAAACAAGTTCGGGCTTATCATTGAACGATACATTGAACGATGACGGGCGCTAATTTGCAGGATACGCTAGTCAGCATTGTGTTACGATTTCGAATATGCCCTATCGTATTGACGACAGATTTACAAAAGATGTACAGACAAGTTTTAGTGCATGACGATGATAGATGTTACCAGAGAATTTTGTGGCGTTGGTCTCCGGACGAACGAATAAGAGAATATACATTAAACACGGTGACTTATGGAGAAGCGTGCGCTCCGTTTTTAGCAATAAGAAGCGTTCAACAATTAGGGAAAGAACAATACCCGCGAGCATCGACGGTTTTGTTGAGGGATTCATATGTGGACGATGTTTTAACGGGAGTAGACAATATCGATGAGGCGAGGAAACTGATTGACGAGTTATCAGGATTGTTAAAGTTAGGTCAATTTCAGTTGCACAAGTGGCGATCGAATTATGCGCAAGCATTATTCGGAGGAAACGATTCGACCGATTTCCAAGCGATTGACGACGAGGTCGACATAGCAAAAACTTTAGGCCTGCGATGGTTACCGGAGTCTGACATGCTTCAATTTGAATCTGAACTAGGGCGGGATTCAAAGACGAAGCGTGAGGTATTATCATCAATATCAAAATTATTCGATCCATTGGGATTGGCTAGTCCATTGGTGGTTAGAGCTAAACTCATCTTGCAACGTACATGGCAATTAAAGCTGGGTTGGGATGATGAGTTGCCGCCAGATTTGCAGCAGGCATGGATCAAATACATGCAAAAATTAATTGAATTACGCA